TGGATTAATTTCGTAACTCCCAAATATCCCTAGTTGTTTAATTAGCCCTATCCTTTCGCATTCCTTCTATTTATACTTGCATCAGATTTCTCTGAGTTCAGAGAAATCAGCGCAACCATTTTTATAACCTATTTCTACTTTCCATGATGAAATATATTTCCTACTTATTTCAAAGAGAAATTGGTCTTATGGGACAAAAAGGTGAAAATGCTTTTTGAAACACTGGCTCCCTTAAAATTGCTTAACAAAGTTCTATTTTTTTTACTCCTTGCTCTTCATTAAAGTGTTCCAACGAAGAAATAGGAAAACCCTATGTTCTGTCATCATTCAAATATGTATTTCCAGACTGGAGCGATAGCACAGATGGCAGGTGTTTGCCTTGCATGGGGCAGACCCGGGTTCGATTTCGAGCATCCTACATGGTTTCCGAGCACCACCAGGAGTAATTTCTGAGTGCATGAGCCATGAGTAACCCCTGTGCATCGCCGAGTGTGACCCCAAAAGCAAAGCAAAGCAAATAAATAAACAAACAAATAAAGAAATACAATTTCAAAATGTCTTTCTGTTGAGGCCAAAGATTTGCCCATCTGTTAAACAGAAATCTCACAGCTTCATATAACCTAAGACTTTAACCACCAACTACACTCTTGAGAAAACTTTTGCTATTTGGAACCATATCTAGTGAATAAAATATGCTCTAATATACATGTTTCAATTAATTTCTCTTTAGCCTTTTAAGTCATAAATCTTTATGCATAAAATTTTTATACATATTTTTCAAATTTTCATATATATGTAATGTAACTTTGTTTATAAATTTCAAAAGCTCATAGACCACAGGTTAAAAGCCCTGTGACAACACGTAGATTAAAGATTATGTATGCAGAGAAATTCCAGGCAAAGACAATTTGAGGAAATTGTATGTAATCTTCTACCCAAAGCTGTTCTCATTTTCTCCCTCTCCTGTTTTATTTTGAACATATATCTTGTATATCTCTATTATTCTCCTCCCACATTTATCTGAATAAATTTCTTTAAGAATATTTTATGATACAAGGAAAGCACAGCGGGTATGGCGTTCGCTTTACAAGCGGCCAACATGGCCGACCCGAGTTCAATTCCTCCGCTCCTCTCGGAGAGCCCAGCAGGCTACCGAGAGTATTGGATATGCCAGACACAGTAACAACAAAGTCTCCAATGGAGACGTTACTGGGCCCGCTAGAGCAAATCGACGATCAACGGGAGGGCCTTTACCTTTACCTTTAAGGAAATACAAAAGCATGTAGTAACCTCCTTTGATTTTTAAAGGTGATTAAGTAAGTAAGTAAGTAAGTAAAGGCCCTCCCGTTGATCATCGATTTGCTCGAGTGGGCCCAGTAACGTCTCCATTGGAGACTTTGTTGTTACTGTGTCTGGCATATCGAATACTCTCGGTAGCTTGCCTGGCTCTCCAAGAGGGGCGGAGGAATCGAACTCGGGTCGGCCATGTTGGCCGCTTGTAAGGCGAACGCTCTACCCGCTGTGCTATTAGTCATTCTTTAATATCCCATGGTTTTAAGAGAAGATACTTACTGCTATTTGCTTTTTTGTATGAATGACTAGTTTTGTAGCAGAAATAAAATAAGTGTAATAAAAAATTTTCTTTTTGTCTTGATTTCTATTTTTAGTTGCAAAATAAGAGCTATGGCAACTTGCATTATCTGCTGAAGGGAGAAACAAAAGCTCCCATTATTTTTACTCCATAAACCATGATTTTCCCTTTTTGTGAGAGTTTCTGTGGCAAACTTACAAATAGAAAAAATTGTGTATATATATGTGTGTATTTTCCCACTGGCAAATTTTTTATAGAACCTAAGTCATCTATCACCATGTCACAGAGTCAATAGAATCCTTTTGTGTAGAGTCTTGCCTGAAGGTTTTCTGTGTAACCCTTTCCATAAATGATTGGTGGAATACAGAACAGCTAATGGTAGAGATCATGTGGAGACTCAGAATTTTCTGTACAGGTATCTCTTTTTATGTTCAACATAAAAACTTTTTCTATTAATTATTACTTTTTCTATTAATTATTGCATAACTTTCACCCTCAGAGAGCCTGATTAATTAGTATGGCATGTGACCTTAGTATTGGGATATTTTGTTCAGTATTAAAATAGCCTTATTGAGGACTAAAGGACATATAATGAACAATATATAAGTTGTACAACCTAATATGTTTGCCCTATGTACCACAAGACAGTATTTCCTCCGTCCCTCTTGGAGAGCCCAGCAAGCTACTCAGAGTATCCCACCCGCACGGCAGAGCCTGGCAAGCTATCTGTGGCATACTCGATATGCCAAAACAGTAACAATGACGGTCCTCATTCCCCTGACCCTGAAAGAGCCCCCAGTACGCCATCCGGCTACAGTAGCACACGACAGGGACGAATGAAGACATTACTGGCACCCGCTCGAGCAAATCGATGAACAACAGGATGACAGTGATAGAGTGATATAGTGATGTACCACACATGAAGTCATAGTAGACAAGAGATAAATATAAAAATTATACCTAAAACTTGCTTTGTACTCCTACGTCCCTGTCTTTTACATTCTCTCTTCAGATGACCATTAATCTTCTTTCTGTGATTGTAGATTATTGGTATTTTATAAATTTTATGTAATTATTAATATAATTTGCAATTAAAATAACTACCAAACTCAGTACAACTAACGCAATACCTTTATTGCAGTATAATTATTTTTAGATCTGTAGGTATGATCTGTTGCTTATATCAATTGTTCATTTTATTTGCACTCTAGAAACCCATTATGCCATGAATTTTCCATTCATTCACTGATGACTTTCAGTTATTTTGAGATTTTGACAATTATTAGTTTTAAAAATGCTATTAATATTTATGTACATATGGATGCATATAAATTCCATCCATATGATATTCATATGAATGCTTTACATATGAATTTCTTTATTTCTTTTATTTCTCCAAAGAGTAGAATGGCAAATTCATATATTAGGTATGCTTGCATATTAAAGTAACTGTCAAAACTTTCCAAATGTTTGCCAAACATTTCATGGGATTAATCATTATTCTTGTTTGTTTTAGTTTTGGTTGTTACTGTGTTTGGCATATCAAATATGGAGACGTTTCTGGGCCTGATCAAGAAAATCGATGAACAATGGGAGGACAGTGACAGTGACAGTGACAATTTTAGTTTTATCCATTGCAACAAATGTGTAATTATGTCTCTTTGTGACTTAAATTTCAAGTCTCTAACAGATAACAATTAGAATAGTGCTACAATTATCTTCATATCTGTTTTAGCAAATATTTTATACATAATTTTCATATTTCCAATGGATTACTTACTTCCTATTGAGCTTTAAAGTTCTTTTTTCTAGTTTTTTTTATTATAATTATTTATTGAATCACTGTGGGAAAAGTTACAAAGCTTTCAGGTTTAAGTCTCGGTCATACAATGATCAAACACCTTTCCCTTCACCAGTACTCATTTTTCACCACCAAGAACCCCAATATACCCCCCTTCCCACCCCTTCCAATGCCTGTGAGGCAGATGATTTCTACTTAACTATCTCTCTACTTTGATTACATTTATTATTTCGACAAAAGATGCACCATTATTGTTTAGAGTTTCCACCCAACAATCAGAAGTGCTGAAAAGGCATTGTGAAATAATTTGTTTTCTATAGCTGGTTATGAGAACCATATGATGTCGCACAGCTGTGATAGCGGCTGCGCGATTTTGGATTTCTGATATTTTACTAATTAAGTCTGGAGGGATTTCTGCCAAGAGTCAGATAATTATGAGATTGGTTTCTGTGCCTCTGGAGCCATGGCCGTTCAGGAGAGCCGCTCGCAGTGGGCAACTTGTGACCTCACTAGGGCGTGAAGAACAAGCCATACTTCCCATGAGGCTACAGTTGCCCCACCACCAGCTCATACCTGGTTTTCCAATAAGCTCCGAGGCAGCAGCCACCTTGCTGCCAGGGGATGGGGGCGAAGGCAGAAGGGAGAGAACCCTTTTCCTCCCAGGAAGGCATGGCCCCGTAACGCATAGTCCATTCACTTTTCTGCTGCAAGTTGCCAGGCTCTGGATTACGTCTACGTGCCTCTGGACCCATGGTCGTGGCCTCTTTATTCTAGTTTTTGGTTTTTGAGCCACACTCAGTAATGCTCAGGTCTTACTCCTGGCTCTGCACTAAGGATTTGATTACTCCTAAAAAGGCTTGAGGACCATATAGGATGTCAGGTATTAAACATGGGTTGGCCACATGCAAGGCAAACATCCTATCCACTTTGCTATCACTCTGCCCCACATTTCTTTTCTTTTCTCTTCTTTTCTTTTCTTTTAAAAAGGTAATTTTAGGCACTATTGTTTACAAAACTGTTGATGGGAGGGATTCGTGCATAAAATATTCCAGCACTACACCTTCTGCCTGAGTGTTTACTTTCCTCCATTGTTGTCCCAGTGAACCCTTTTCACCCTGTGCAAAATTTTCTACTGAAGATAAGTTCTGTTTTTGTTGCCTTGGAGCATTTGTTATTTTCATACTATGTTTCCATAAATCCTGCATATGAGAGATAATTCTGCATTTGTTCCTCTTCTTCTGGTTTATATCACAAACCAATTACTCTGTTCAGGAACTTTGTTTCCTCTTGATTCAATCATGTAATTATAGTGACCCCCCCCTCCCCCAATTACCCATGTTTTCCCTGGAGTCTCCAGTTTCATGGCATAAACAGTTTAGAAATAATCCCTGATAATCTGGTAAATTTCTGTGATAACTGTTGTGGTAACCTCCCTTTTTATTTCTGGTGTGGTTTACTACATTTTTCTTTCTTTCTTTTTGAGTCTTGCTAATAATTCTTCTTTCTTGTTTATTTTTCAAAGAAACATCTCTTATTGTTTCTTTTTTTTTCTCTTTCATTTTATTTTATTTTTTGGGTTTGCACCGTTCATGCATGAAGGACATCCCCCTCCGTGGGGCTCCCTCACAAGTTCTTGGACACGATGCTGTCGGCCCTGGCCAGGCAGAAGATGGAATCCTCGGACTCACCCATCCTGCAGATGGCCCCGCAGATGGCGTACGTCTTAAACTGCCCGTTGAACCTGCCGATTACTTTGTCCACCTCGGCCAAGTTCATCTGGATGGACGCGCGGTCCGTGGCGCCGATGATGCGGTTGCTGGCCAAGCACTTCTGCAGCACATACAAGTCCATGTGGTGGCGGGGCCTGGTGTGTCCGCGATGTGCTCGAGCGCCTTTGTTGCTCTTTTAGACTTTTAATTCTTTTTAGCTTCTAGTTCATTAATTTCTACTCTAATTTTGTTATTTCCCTTCATCTGTTTCTTCTTTTATTCATCTCTTCCAGCTGTAGCTGCATAAGCTGTGCAGTTAGGTGATTTGTGTCGGCCTAGTCTTACTTCCTAGTGTACATTTATTTGCATTGCTATGAACTTCTCTCTGAACATAATTTTTGCCATGTTCTATATGATTTTGTAGTTTGTATCGTCGTTCTTGTTTGTTTCCAGGCTGATATATTTGAGTGGGTGAATGAGTGAGCAAGTGTGTGTGTGTGTGTGTGTGGCAAACCTGCTGGTACTCAGATCTTATTCTTGGCTTTATATCTGGGGATCACTCCTGGTGGCAGATGGTAGAAGACCATATGTGTTACCACTAATCAAACACCTGGATTGGTTGCATGCAAGGCAAGTTCTCTACCTACTCTATTGTCTCTCCAGTCCAAATTTCTGTTCTTTTATCTTTGACCCATTGGTTATTCAATAGTGAGTTGTTTAATTTTCTAGTATTGAGTTTTTTCCTCATTTCTGTTTGTAATTAATTTACATTTTCAATCGACCATGCTCTGGGAGAGTAATTGAAATAATTTCCATCTTCATGATGTAATAGAATTATGTTTTGTGCTGAATTTATGATATATCTTAGAAAATATCACATGAACACTGGAAAATGTGTATTAATTAGACTTTGTAGGAATATATTGCTCCACATCCCTAAAAAACTTTAAATATATATCCATTTCTTCCCTTTTCGGCCAGTGTTTCCTTGTGAAGTTTAGTCTAGTCGATATATCCAGAGGTGTCAAAACAGCATTTAAATCTCCAAATGCTATTGTGTTGCTGTCAATATTTACCGTTCCATACAACAGTAGTTCTTTTAAGTACTTTGGTGACCATTTGTGAGGTGTATAAATACTGTTTCTGTGCTCAGGAATCTCTCGTTGTGGTACTTGATGGATCATATTTAGTGCTAGTAATTAAAACTGGGTGAACCTCAGGAAGGCAAGGATTTACCAGCTGAGTTATCTCTCTGGCCTTATTTTAAAACTATGAAGTCTTAAAATAAGGTACTGAATCATTCTACTAACTTTATCCTTAACAGTTGTTTTCTTTTCCTAAGTTGTTTTTAATATAAACTTTAGAATGAACTTTTAACTTATACAAAACCGTAACTGATGTTTTGCTTTTGATTACTTTGTTATCACTGGTCAACTAGTTAAAGTTCTTTGTCTCCTCCTCTGATGTCACTACAGGAAAAAGAAAGAGGAATGCATCCTTACTGATTGGAGAAAGTGGAGTTCCAAGCTACCTAAATGATCTTCTATAATCTACAGCAGAAGGGAATATTGTCACCACCTTGTGTAGATAAAGAATTTGCTCTACAATACCGAAGTACAGAGGATAGTATATAAAAGTTTTGGGTACTGTTAGACTGTCCTTATGCTGGAGAGATCTGGCTTGGGATGCTTTGTTGTGTCCAATGGCTTTAGCTGCTTGATGGCTTCTTAAATTTTATATAGGGATATATATAAATATATATATATATATAACAAAAAAAGAATGCCCATAGGCCATAGTTATAGCTCAAAGAATAAGATCCCTAGTCAGTTTACTTTTTTTTCTACCTCTAATAGTCATATGTTCAGCTTATATAGAAAATATCCAGGCATTTTCATTTTACTTTGTGAGAGTAATATGGAGTCACATTTATTTCATTTTCCCAGAAATGGAAGTAATTCATAGTAGATTTTTGATTAGACATTTTTGTGGTAGAAGATAAAAATATAGCCTCTATTAGTAGTCTCCAACTGCAATTGCAATTGCAATCTGGAAAAGGAGAAACAGGAAGCATACAATATTCCTGGCTTGGAGAATAAAGGTTCTATAGCAAACTTCATCCACTATTCCACAATGGTTATTTTATGCCTATCATACACTGAATCTGTATATACTCTTTACCTACAGTGCAGTATTTAACTTTACCACATGAAGTAGTCATGAAGTAGTTCCTGGAACTATTGTTTTATTTTTTAAGCTTGGACCCTTTTACTAACTCTTTTTACTATTTTCATACTCCTTGGACAATGACAATCACTTATCTACTTTCTGGGAATATTATTTTGCCACTAAAGTAATCTAATATTGGAGGGACTGTATGTGAAATCTGTTATCTCTCTCTCTCTCTCTCTCTCTCTTTCTCTCTCTCTCTCTCTCTGAGGTTGGCTTTTGTGCCAACAAAAAGAAATACAAAGACATTAGAATTCAGAGAAAATGCATTACATTTATTATGTAAAATCAGAGGTATTTGGCAGTCCCATTTGCTGAGGGCATAAACAATATTTTTTATCTTGATTTACTCATTTGCAACAATTGGAATTTCATTTTTTGTTGATGCATATCTAATACATACCTGAATTTTTTACACTTAATTTTCTTTGACTTGATCAATTTGTTTGACTTAACTATTTACTTAACATATCCCTATGACAACATGGGGATTATATTTGAAATATATCTGCATTTTGATATATATTAAAATTAACGTGTGGTTATTAAACAACTGATGTGTATCTCAACCAGAAGTTTGTCCAGATTCACTTATGTGTACTTCATACATGTGGACCCTAACTTTGATGCCTCAAAGGACTTTAATGAAGGAATATTGCAGACATGTATCTGGTTGGGACAAGGTAGTGTGAAGGTTCTTTTCCATGAGCATTGCAATTTCAGGTATAAGTAGGTTTGGTTAGATTGATAGAGGGCAAATTTCTCTTCATCCCAACACAACATTTTTTCTCTGTGTTCCAAGCAATTCAGTAATAATAATTTTTAGTAAGATTTGTTATTATTAAAGGTTAGCCTTTTTTAAAAAATGGTCTCAATCAATAGGAAGTTTCTTGTTGGTGACTGAATAGCTCAGAGAAACTCACAAGTTAGGAACAACTGCCCTCAGTATAAAAAATCTAGACTACTTTTTAAAAATGTATGTCTAACTAGTATGAGGTTTTTTTAAAAAAAAGATTTTTAGTTACAATATATACTTGAATGCTTCTCAGAGAGCCTGGCAAGTTGCTGAGAGAATCCCATCTACATGGGCAGAGCCTGGCAACCTCCCCGTGGTGTATTTGATATGCCAAAACCAGTTACTATAACGAGTCTCATTCCCCTGACCCTGAAAGAGCCTCTAATTATTATGAAAGATGAGTAAGGAGAGGCTGCTAAAATCTCAGGACTGGGACAAATGGAGATGTTACTGGCACCCGCTCGAGTAAATCCACGAACAACTGGGTGACAGTGATATAGTGATACGATGATATACTTGAAGGTATGATGCTGTGTCCTAGGTCTTGCTTTCAGCAAGCTCAAGATGAATTCAGATATTCCAGAGTGATGAGTTCATCAATTTTTTTAAAGGGCTATCTTGTGAAATAAGCTTTACAAATCCTAAAATAATGACAACAGAATAGGATAAAAACCCATTTTGATCTGAAACATAGAGAAAGAAATTGGACACATTTGGGGAAAAAAAAAAGCTTTAAACCTTTAAAATAGAGCTCTTTAACGATCATATCACCAAACAGCACAGGAGAATGGCATAGCAGGGGTTTTATTTATTCATTCAGGGAAGTTCAGTCTCACTGGGCTAGACACAGGGAGAACCGATAAAAAGAAACTCATTTTATATCTTTTCTCCTGCTGATAAACTATAATTGGTGACTGATTGAATATGAGGCTTTTTCTTTCTTCTCTGACCCTTTTGTCCTGACAACCTGGTCATTTCATGCCAGGGGTTGAAACAGGGCACATTTAGGTGGAAAGTGCTTTCCCTTTCCACAGATGATGCACTTACCTGGCATCTTGAAATGTTTCTCATTTGCAATAAAAAATGAATTGCCGTATATGGAAGAAAGTATTTTTAGACTATTTCAAAGTAACAGATTATCTTACTTGGCTGAGGATATCACCATCTATATTCTTAGATATATTGCTCTAGTCATAGTATCTGCCAGCCCCCATTTCCCCCTCCTGTTGTTACTCAACATGAAACTAATCTTAAGCATTAAGACAGAAGCTGAAGATGTAAGTTCTTAGGGAGAAGGTTCATTTTCTTAGGGATTGTTCATTTTTTAAAATAAAAGCTAATTTGCCTTAGTTGTGTGTCTTTGGGGTTCAACTCAAATTTTAAAGGTAAAGTAGATATTCTTGTTTCTGGAACTGGATAATAATAAGTTTTCAGAGACTAGTGATTTTGAAATTCCTATGCTAGACTTAAGTACCTACTGCAGTGACTTTCATTGCTGCTTAATGCTTTTGCCAAAGAGGGAAGATCACTTAATCACTTAATCCCCGTTATTCATCGATTTATTCGAGCGGGTGCCAGTAACATCTCCATTCATCCCGGTTGCGTGCTAGCATAGCCCAATGGTATCTGTTCGTTCTAGGAACATGCAGAGCCTCAAACCGATCATTCAGGGTCTTGATGAAGAAGTCTGACCATCTTGTAGGTGGGCGTCCACATGATCTTTTGATTCCAGTGGAATCCAATCAGTAATGGCTCTAGTCCAGCAGTTGTCTGTAAACCTCATTACGTGTCCAGCCCATCTGATTTTTGATGTCTTGGCAAATGAGACAGCGTCCCTGATTCTTGAGCGTTGACGAAGATCAGAACTCCGGATTCTATCTCTCATTTGAGTGAATCGTGATATTCCTAGCATAGGCATAGCTCTTTCGATTCCTCTTTGAGAGACCCGAATAGCGTTCTCATCCTGTTTTCGTAGGGTCCAGGTCTCTGAGGCATATGTTAATGCAGGAAGAATAGTGGAATCAAAGAGATGTGCTCGTAGCTGGAGGTTCTTTGTCCTTTTAGTTATTTCTTCAATACTCTTGAAGGCATTCCAAGCCGCTCTCTTCCTCCTGCGC